GGGGGTCATTTATGCTAAATTTGTAGAGGAAATAGTATTTGATCAAAGCAACAAAATGTGTTTTGAAGGGGCCCTAAAAGTTTACCTCTTTTTCCTGTTTGGACACAATTATTGTTCTATGTTTGACAGACAACCCCCAAAAATTCTGTATGGACCCCCATTTGTGAGGTTGTGAGTTGTGGCTTTCCAAAACCTAAATCATAGGGGGAAATGACAGCTTAATTTGTTTGTATTCAAGTTGCTTGAGTAGAGCAAATCAATATTTGTCTTGACGATGTACGATTTCCACACACTTGTCTCACATTGTTGTTGGTTCAACTTTGTTGTTTACAGGAAAGAGCAATAGATCGCACAGGGGCATGGCAATCTGAGGCCACGTACAAGGGACCCCCTTGTGTACCAGTCTTCTCTTCTACTGCAGCATCATCAGGATTCTCATCTACAAAATTCACTGTACCTTCAGCTCCCGCTAATCAATTTGACTATCCGAATTCGGCAATCCTTCGCCACCTTTATTCTCTTTCAAACACCAACATCGCCCCCTACAACACTGCCTGCATCCCCCGTGACATCACCCCTCGTTACTATCGCAGGGGCTGAGTGGTAGAAGAAATGAAAAGCAACAGTAGTAAGATTGTGTGGATTTAATCAGTTCTTAATGTAGTGTGTTTTATCGTACATCAGCAGAAATGAAAAGCAACATGGGTGTAATGCAACTAATATTGATATCTAATTGCATGAAAACAAAAATAAGGTTTTTGAACCTCACCCATTAATAATATTCAATATTGTTACTAAGGTTTTACACTACATCAACTATATTAGAAGCATGAAAGTGGCATATTAGCTCGGTTGGAGCTTCATGCTAATAACGCAAAACCCAACGGGGTGGTTTGGTGGTAAAAAAAGTTTGCTCATTTCATTGATTTTCTGAGTTCAAACCTCTTTCAAATCACCTACCACATTTGTGGCTTACCTTGAAACATTGGGCTTGTAAGGTGTTCAATGGATTCCAAATGATTAGGCATATGGTTTGCTCCCATGAGTTCTTAGCTCAATTGAACTGAAATTTAAGGGCAAAATTTGAATGTTTGCCAGCACCCCTTTTTGAAAACCTGCATTTCCTTTTTCTTAGTTAATGCTTCCTTACTCTCATGTGAGCGAGATTCCACTTCAATACCGACGTCACTTACGATATAAAATTAGAACCACGAGATTGTGATTCACCTAGTAATTGGAATACCAATGGGCCAACTTCACCTTCAATGTCAATGGTTCTAATCTCACTAGAAGCACCTTGTGGCTAGGGGCATTACCCGAACCCCGAAATGAGGATTAGTCTCGTACCTTTTGATGTGGTGGTACATGACCCCACCCCCCCCAAATCATCAGACTTGATCACGCTGAGAGTCTTTTGTGAATGAATGGTCGTCCAAATTTATGGACGCCCCCATATTTAATGGACTCCGGTGTCCATTTACTATGGACGGTCGTCCATATAGATGGATGCCCCTAAAAAATTTTAAAAAAAAAAATGGACTGTCCTCTTATATGGACGGGTGTTTATTTACTATCGAGAGTCCAAAAAATTTTACATTCAATGACAGGCGTCCATTTTGTCCATTGTTAATTTAAAATTTTTACATTCAATTTTGTCTCAATCCAAAAATAAATGTCCTATCTTATTCAATTTTGTCAATATTCAAAGTAGCTTCATTAATTGTCATATCAAAATAATTGACAAGTTCATCTATTCTACTCTTAGGATTTACAATTAATGCATTAATAAATTTAAAAATTAAAATTTGTTATATTAAAAGATGGCCCATCCTCTTATAGGACGAGTCCCAAAACAATTTAGCCAATTTTTTAGTTTAATTATAACGAGCGTCCTTCTAGTGGACGGTCCTTCCTAATAATATGGACGGAGTCCATTTCAATGAACGTCGTCCATAAAATAGACGGTCTCATATATTTTATGGATGACCTTCATTTGTGGATATTTGTTAACGTGATACTGGCTCGTCTGTTTCGTGACATGTCCGTTGTGTAAAATTCGGTGCAAGTGTCGTGTCCGTACATGTTTCATTTGGTAAATGTGCCACTCACATTTCAAAACTGAATCAACATCTATGTCAGTACTATGTTATCGTATATGGTAGGATTGGATCTTGGATTTATAAGATGCCTAAATACTGACAACATCACTTAATAGATTGTATTTTTGCATAGTGATAAATGCTCGGACCGTACAAGTTTTGTCGAAGAGACGTCAGTTTTATCTCTATTGAGCTCTATTTAGTAGTGTGGTATGAAGTAAAAGTGCAACCTTTAAGTTTGAAAGTGTTAATAGTTTGATGGACCAATTAATGTGGGTTAAATGAGCTTAGGGTTGCTCCAATCTCACGTTATATTTACTCCAACCCTAAATAAGGTTCAAATAGCAGGATGGGATTGACCAAAGGTGAATAGTATGCCAAATATGACGAAGGTGTACATGTTTGAATTTATCAAAAACACCCCTATATACTCCTTTTAAAACACACCCCTGTCACACGAAAACTGTTGAGTGGTGGCGGTAGCGATAACGACGGCCAATCAAGTTTGGAATATAGGGCTTTTGATATATAGGTGTTGACAATTATGGCAGTGTTAGGAGGTTCTATCGAGCCAATTTTCAGAATCAAACAAGTCTAACGGTCGCGTGAATGTAGGTGGACGGTGAGCGACGAAAGGCTAGAACGGCCACTGAAAATGATGGGTTTTTTGTGGGATGTCATCAAGTCTAATGGTGTGTTCTCCATCAAAATGTCGGAATCCAACGGATTGAGTTACGATTGGACCGTGATTGGACTACGATTCGCACTATTTTGACAGTCCAACCGCAGCTCAATCTTTTGATTTAAAATGTCAGATTTTCAAACACAACCAGATGCCATAGGCTCCTGTCGAACCAGTCCATCAGACGGTCGTATCCGATTTTCAGAACACTTAATCCTAAATTCTAACATTGAATAAAATAGATGAGATCTTCAAATGGTGTTTGACAAACGAAAGTTAGGTCAATGTGATGAAGACGTTTATTTAAAATTACTCTATATCTAACTCATAGCACCATAAAATTGAGAATTTAAAATGAAATTAAATTAAGAGAGAATCTTTTATCCAATCTTTATGCAATCTTTTTCTGCCAAAGTGAATTATGTGATCAGAACAATGCAACTATTAGATTTAATTCGTACAAGTCTTACCCTTGGAAGACTTTTAACAGAACTTTTCTTTCATTTTAGCCTTAAGATTCAACAAATGCACTCAACCCTTTTTTTTTTGGTTCAAAGAGTTATCCTTATATAGCAATTTGGATAATTAATCTAGTTTTTAAACAACTAAGAGGGAATCTGATATTATCAAGAAATACAAAAATAATCATTTTTTTTTTTTTTTTTAGTGATTAGGTATCTACCAGTTTACGCACACCTCAACTAATTTTTAATTTCATTAATACTTTAATAAGCTCAATGTCAGATAGTCATAAATATTTCTACAAAACCCATAGGTCAGGTAAGTCCACAATGTGACAAATATACTTGATGATACTCAAACAAGACTCTCTAGATAATCTAATTCTTACATTTTCACCACAACAAGTGGTTAAAAAACAAATGTCATATTTCTAAATTCAAGCAATAATTTGATATTATAGAAAATTAGGGTCTCAATTTTTGTTTCCTAGATACAGTCAACTCTTCCTCGAAGAAGTGAATTAAATTATTAAACAAAGCATATTTCTCACGTGTTTTTCTTGCACGTGCTACAAGTAAAATACCTAGAAATTACAAACTAATTATGCATAAAATGTGACTACCTTTGAATTATCAAACCTAGAAGCTCAACCTTGAAATATTTTAGAAGAGTTTTGATTGTAACAACAAAATTTGAATACTTTGGAAATTAAAAGAAAAACCCACAAAGAAGAGCAAATTTATGGATTCTCAACCTTAATTTGAAAAAATCATAATAATATCTGATTTGATAACATTTGACCGGTTTTGTCCGTTAGATTGGAACCAATATTTTACATACATAATTTAGTTTCCGACATATTTATGACACCTAATGTGCTGGCTTTATTGAAAACACATTCAAAGACATCCTTAATGCTTCTAGCTAGGGACACCTCAAATAAAGCCACTCTTACATATTTTAACAAGCAAGAATTTGAATGAAGAAAAAAAGTGGGATTGGGGGGGTCTGGATTAAATCTATTTCTTTTTCTGTTTAGGATAACGGTGCATATTTTTCTTTTTTGTCGCCTACGATTTTGTAGTATTTTTCTGTGATTAGGTTTCATTTTAATAACTTAATTTTGTGTCCTGCTTCTGAGTTTCTCTGATTTTTGTTGCAGAAGTCAGTTTAAGTTGCTACAGATTTTTTTTTTTTTTTAAGGGTTGTTTGGAGTATGGGAAGAGTCAGGGGAAAGGGAAAGAAGCCAACGATTATTGCTTCTCGTGAGGATTATGGAAGTGGTGAAGAATTGAAAATTCCAGCTTTCAGGAGAAGGGGAAGGCCACAAAAGCCATTGAAGGATGAAGTCGAAGAAGAAGAAGCTGAGAAGATGGTAGAAGATGGTAATGATCCAAAAGTTTCCATCTGTAGTAAAGATATAGGGAATCAGGCTGCCATAACAAATGGAAGGAAGAGGAAGAAATCCACACAGGCCAAAGAAGAGAAAGACACAGACAAACATGACAGTAGCATCGGACTAAAACCAAGTACTGATGAATCAATGAAGTCTGTCGGATTTCGACAAAAGGGGAGTAGGAGAAAAAGCAAGCCTCGACGGGCTGCTGAAGCTGGTGTTGAATGCAAGTGAGGTTTGCTTCATTTTGTAATGGCCTTGCACCCTTTGCAATGGCCATATAAATCATTACCGTAGAGTGTAACTTGTTGGCATGCACATGAGTCCGGATGTTTCTTTTGTTATATGCTTTTTTGTTTCTGTCAATTTTGATTCAGAGGGTTTTTCCATTTGGGAAATAAACTATCCTGTTTGTAATCCGCTATGAAGTTACTTAATTTATATACTTTGTTTTCTCGAAAAAAGAAGTTACATATACTCCGGGAGGATGCTTAATAGTAAATGAGCAAATTTGAGGGACTCAAAGCTATTTGTAAAATGAATCTAATTACCGAATAGTGAAAATTAGTGCATTGCTGCAGGTTGAGGCTCAGAAATGAAACAGAAGACTTGAAGCAAGGAAAGGCATGGATTAACAATGTGAATAATATTGGTTAACCGAAGCCTTTCCAGAAGACCTTGCTGCTGTAATCAATGGCCGGCTCAGCTGAACTTAGTAAGATGCCGACAGGTTTACACCGGTCAGTAGCAGTCATGGTTTGTTATGAGCACTTTGAGAGATGTATATTCAGTGTTAACACTCTTTTTGCTTCTAATACTTTGTTTTGATAGCATGGTACATGTGCATCGCAACATCTGGAATTGCATGTCATGAGCATTTAGATCTTTTTTAAATAGTTTGATTCAGCCTTGTAGATGAATAGCCTACTATTTGGCTTCTTGGTTCCAAAAATCAATACATGCATCCTTTATGGATGTCTCTGCAATTTCAGTCGTATGAGCTCCGCATCATCCCGCCATGAAAAAATTTAGAATATCACGAAAGTACTACATCAACTATATTAGAAGCATGAAAGTGGCATATTAGCTCAGTTGGTTGGAGCTTCATGCTAATAATGCAAAACCCCGAGGGATGATTTGGCGGTCAAGAAAGTTTGCTCTTTTTATTGACTTTCTAAGTTCAAATCTCTTTGAAATCACCTACCACATTTATGGTTTACCTTGAAACAATGGGTTTGTAGGGTGTTTAATGGGTTCCAAATGATTAGGCATATGGTTTGCTCCCATGAGTTCTTAGCTCAATTGAACCGAGATTTAAGGGCAAAATTTGAATGTTTGCCAGCACCCTTTTTTGAAAAACTGCATTTCCTTTTTCTTAGTTAATGCTTCCTTACTCTTGTGTAAGCGAGATTCTACCTCAATACTGACGTCACTTACGATATAAAATTAGAACTATGAGGTTGTGATTCACCTAGTAATTGGACTACCAATGGGCGAACTTCACCTTCAATGCCAATGGTTCTAATCTCACTAGAAGCACCTTTTGGTCTGAGGCATTACCCGAACCCGATGAGGATTAGTCTCATACCTTTGGATGTGGTGCGGGGACACCTTGTGGTTCACCAAAAAACCAAAAAAAAATTGGAATTTTGACAGTACTCGAAACAATGTTACTCTTATAAATTATAGGCATGGGTTGGAGCCCAGTCTAGGCCCATTACCGAAATTGGATTTTGCTGTCACAGCAGCCCATCAGTCCCATGCCCAATATTTTTATTAAAAGTTTTTAACTTCAAAAAATATCAACCCTTCACTATTAAAATATTTGTTCAGTTGATTATGTTATAAAAAACTATAATATAATGTCTTTTAACTGTTAGGATGAGACATAGTTTATATAATTAATTTGAAATTAAAAAAAAAAAAAATTGATTGTGAATGTTGTGTCAAGCCGAGGCCCACTAAGGAATTAGAATAGTCCTATTATTTCCTTGTAAACTTTTTGCGCCTACCACAGTACTATAATATGATGGACCAAATTTGGTAAAGAGTAAACACTAAAATTTTACACCGAATTTTTGTATCGAAAGACATGGCAATCAGTTAGACGTGACCACGCTAGAGTCTTTCGTGAATGAACGATGGTCCAACATTTATGGACGCCCGTCCATATTTAATGGACTCCTGGGTGTCCATTTACTATAGACGGTTGTCCATATAAGATGGATGCCCGTCCAAAAAATTTTAAAAGAAAAAAAATGGATGCTCGTCTATCTTATATGGACGGGTGTCTATTTACTACGGAGCGTCCAAAAATTTTTTAAAAATTTTACATTCAATGGACAAGCGTCCCTTTTATATGGACGTCTATCCATTGTTTAATTTAAAAAATTTTACATTCAATTTTTGTCTCAATCCAAAAATAAATGTCACTATCTTCATTCAATTTTTGTCAATATTCAAAGTAATTGGACAAGTATCATATTCTTAACTCAATTAGGATTCACAATTAATGCATTAAATAAATTTAAAATTTAAAATTTGTTAATATTAAAAGATGGACGCCCATCCTCTTATGAGGACGACCGTCCATAACTATGGACAGGCGTCCTCATAAAAGGACAGGCATCCAGAAACAATTTAGGCCAAATTTTTTTAGTTTAAACTATGAACGAGCGTCCATTCTAATTGGACAGTCGTCCATATAATATGGACAGGAGTCCATTTCAAATGAATGGTCGTCCAATAATAATGGACGGTCGTCTATATTTGATGGATAGTCATTCATTCGTGGAATATTTGTTAACGTGATACGTGGCTCGTCTGATTCAGTGGACACGTTGTTTGGTGTAAAAATTCGGTGCAAAGCGTCGGTGTCCGTAACATTTTTCATTTGGTAAATGTGGTCACTCTTTCTATTTATGCAAAAAACTGAATTCAACTAATCTATGTCAGTATGATGTTATCGTATACGGTAGATTGGATCTTGGATTTATAATGATGCCTAAATACTAGACAACATCACTTAATAGAATTGTATTTTTGCATAGTTGATAAATGCTCGGATCGTAACAAGTTTTGTCGAAAGAGCGTCAGGTTTTAATCTACTATTAAGTTCTCTGTTTTTAAGGTGGGACTGATTGGAAGGTAGTGTCAAATGCGACAAAAGTGTCCAACACATTTTCATTTCATGTGTTTGAAAAGGGTTTAAATAAGTTTGATGGAACTAATTAAGGGTGAGTTAAATGAGCTTAGGGTTGCTCCAATCTCACATTATATTTACTCCAAACCCTAAATAAGGTTCAAATAGGGAGGACGGGATTGACCAAAGGTGAATAAGTAATGTCAAATGTGACGAAAGGTGTTACATGATTGAGAGAATATTACTATAAATGTTCTGAAAACCGGATCGAACTATGACCCGTTCAAGAGTGCGGTTTCTGGTTTGACCGGTTGGACCGTATCCTGTAAAAAAAATTTAGTCCCTAAATGTTTGAAATTTATCAAAAACACCCCTATAATATCCCTTAAGGTTTGAAATCTATCCAAAACACCCCTGTCGCACGAAGAGACTGGTGAGTGGTGGCAACAGCGACGATCAATGGCCAATCAAAGTTTGGAATTATGGGGCTTTTGATGTATAGGTGCCGGCGAATATTATGGCGGTGTTATGAAGTTCTATCGGTGCCGGAATTTTTCAGAATCAAGAACGAAGTCTGACAGTCGCGTGAACTGTAGGTGGACGGAGAGCGACGAAAGGCTAGACAACGGCCACTGAAAATGGACGGGTTTTGTCGTGGTAATGCCATCAAGTCTAATGGTGGTGTTTTCTCCCTTGAACGATATCAGAATCCGACGGGATTGAGTTGCGATTGGACTACGATTCGACACTATTCTGACAGTTCAACCGCAACTCAATCCGGTTTGATTTAAAATGTCGATTTTCAGAAAACACCAGACCAGAGATGTCGTAGGCTCCTAGTCGAACCGGTCCAATCAGACGGTCTAATCTGGTTTTCAGAACACTAATTACTATCCTAAATTCTAAGATTGAATAAAATAGGATGAGATCGTTCAAATGGTGTTGAACAAATTCGAAAGTTAGGTCAATGTGATGAAGACGTTATTTAAAAATTACTCTATATATAATCATGCACCATAAAATTGAGAATTTAAAATGAAATTAAATTAAGAGAGAATCTTTTATCCAATCTTTATGCAATCTTTTTCTGCCAAAGTGAATTATGTGATACAGAACGAATGCAACTATTAGAATTTTAATTCGTACAAGTTCTTACCCTTGGAAGACTTTTTAACAGAACTTCTCTTTCAACTTTTTAGGCCCTTAAGATTCAACAAATAGCACTCAACCCCTTTTTTTTGGTTCAAAAAAGAGTTATCCTTATATAAGCTATTTGGATAATTAATCTAGTTTTTAAAACAACTAAGAGGGAATCTGAATTACAAAAGAATAAAAGATGTCATTTTTTTTTTTTTTTTTTAGTGATTAGGGTATCTAAACCAGTTTACGCACACCTCAACTAATTTTTAAGATTCATTAAATACTTTAATAAGCTCAATGGATCAGATAAGTCATAAATATATTCTACAAAACCCTATAGGTCAGGTAAGTCACAGATGTGACAAATAGTTACTTGATGATACTCAAACACAAGACCTCTAGATAATCTAAATTCTTACAATTTCACCACAAGTCAAGTGGTTAAAAAACAAATGTCATATTTCTAAAATTCAAGCGAAGAATTTGATATTATAAGAAAATTAGGGGTCTCAACTTTTTGTTTAATCCTAGATACAGGTCAAACTCTTCCTCGGAAGAAGTGAATTAAATTATTAAAACAAAAGCATATTTCTCACGTGTGTTCTTGCACGTGCTACAAGTATAAGATACCTAGGAAACTACAAACTAATTTAATTGCATAAAAATGTGACCACCTTTGAAATTATCAAACCTAGAAAGCTCAAACTTGAAATATTTTAGAAGAGTTTTGAATTTAACAAGCAAAATTTGAATACTTTGAAGATTAAAAGAAAAACCCACAAAAGAATAGGCAAATTTTATGGATTCTCAACCTTAATTTGAAAAATCATAATAATATTTACTGATTTGATAACATTTATGACTCGGTTTTGATCGTTAGATTGGAACCAATATTTTACATACAATAATTTTAGTTTCCGTAGAATATTTATGACCAACCGGTAATGTTGATCTGGCTTTAATTTGAAAACAATATCAAAGACATCCTTAATGCTTCTAGCTAGGGACACCTCAAATAAAGCACTCTTACATAATTTTAATCAAGGCAAGAATTTGAATGAAAGAAAATAAAGTGGGATTGGTGGGGGGTCATTTATGTTAAATTTGTAGAGGAAATAGTATTTCCTCCTCAAAGCAACAAAATGTTGGGAAGGGAGGGGCCCCTAAAAATTGACTCCTTTTTCCCATTTGGACACCATTATTGTCCTATTTGTGACAGGCAACCCCCATAAATTCTGTATAGACCAAAAGTTGGTTAGGCCCCATTTGTGAGTTGTGCCTTTCCAAAACCTAAATCATAGGGGAAATGACAGCTTCGTTTGTTTGTATTCAAGTTGCTTGGGTAGAGCACATCAAGACTTGTCCTGACACACAAAGCTTGCATTACACATAGGTGTGTGACCAGGCAGGTAGCCACATCATGAGTTAGTGGGTTTGAGCTAACTTTTTATAAATTTTGCCCAACCCTAACGAATATTAATGGACAAAAGTATTAATGTATAATTAATTT